TGACAGCTCTGGAGCATCATATTGGGCTAAGAAATGATAAAGATTTCAATCTTCAAATTTTTTCTCAGCATAAATTCCGTCCACCTCATAGACTCCACCTCACGTATTAATGCATATATTTTATTCCTCTTAAGGGATCCTAAAGTCGTCTGTATATTACCGACTAAACCATACAATTTTTGTATAACATTTTTTTCCTTTCTTACTAATTTGAAAATCTTTTTCCAGGATTAAAGCATACGCATTAATACGTGTGTCAATGAGGTGGAATCTATGCTGAGAACGATAACAAAATTTCGAAATTGAGATCTTTGACCACTTCTTAGTCCAATATGGCGCTCCGGAGCTGTCAGGTCGTGACAACATTTGCTTTAGATAAAAGCTGTGCAATCTGTACTTACAAAATAGTAGTTCACAAACTAGTAGTTTGGATAAAAAAACAGAATAGAGTTTTTAAAATTGGACTTAGACGTCTAATTAAAATGTAACTGTTGTACGAAAATTTATGTGTATGTATGGCGTGCGTAAGAGAGATATTGATGTAGTGATGTGTCAATGACACGTAAATCGTCTGTGTGTAAGCGCTAATTTCAATATTACTAATCGTCTTTAGAATCCCCTTAAACAGCCAACGCAACATGCATGACATGCTCGAGAGTGTGCGCGCATGCGCCCAGTTTCGTCGCGTACACATTCATCCCGATTCGGGGATACAGGAAGCTCGGCCAGCACTCTAATTCCATAGAGTATCCCCAGGGAGCGGCGCGGCGGCGATGAAAATGGATTGCCCAACACCACCGCCGATCCACAGCTGTCTTATTCCTTATTCAAAATAATACGAAGCACACACAGGTATATCACGGCAGTGTCCTCGGCGCTAAGATAAGCGCATATCTCTCATAGCACGAAACCGGCCGTGTTCTTTTACACGAGCCGGCGAGTTGCGGGGACCAAGGTTATCGAATCTCAATAAGGACCGGCTGAATTCTACGTATCCTCAATCGATAGCTTCCATTCGGATTGTGTAATAAAAGTGCTTTTATCTTTTTTCTACGTATCCTACATGCGGAGATATTGCTACGCAAAGTTCGGATCTGTTACTTTTGAAGTTACCTCGTCGTCGTGATTGTCATGTTCGTCATTGCCCAGCCAGAATTGGAGGGATGTGATGTCACTTACCTAAACGATTTCGATCGCTAAGACATTTAGTGAACGAGTTAATAAGTTAGCCAAGATCACATAACCGTAAGATAAACAGTGCATGTGTAATATAAAATAAACGAACCGTGGAATCATTTTTATGCCAACCTTACCAAAGGAGGTTGGCATAAAACCTTAAATAAGCACTTAAGATCCAGCTAAGACCGTTAAAGGCACTAAATAATATAATGTTGTTGAAAATGACGGGTTGTTGTATTTTGGAGTGAACAAGAACAAGAGCGAGGAAAGATATGAAGGCGCGTTTTCCACTAGACCCAATAATTACTTAATTTTGCCATAAGCGTATGTGTATATTTATGTTTCTGTTTTACATTACTAATGTTAATTTTATTATAATTTTATTGGAAGAGAAAATATCTTTGAATGAATTGTGATATAATAATTTCTTTTAAGAAGAATTAAAGCCATTTGGATTGAAAGATCCTTCAATAAAAATATAAAGATATATACTGAGGTTTTATTGTATAAAAATTAAAGTTTATATCACTTATTTATTATGTAGAATTTAACTTGGCGCCAGTCGTTGATACCAAATCTTTTATACAAATGATACGTATTATTAGAGTTAAGTAAATAATAAAGATAGTACCACTTGCGTTTTACTGTTTAATTTGATAGAATTTAACTTGGTTAGTTAAAACAGTAGCATTTGGGGTTTAATTTTTAATTTAGTAGAATAGTTTTTTTCGATGAGTATAATTTTTGACGGAAAATTAAAGCTGCCATTACTTGGATTGGAATACGAAGACCTTCAATAAGAATATTTTTGAAAAATAATTGAAAATACTATTATACTTGAGTTGAAATAATAAAAAATAGTAAAAAGACACATAACGTATTACTTAAATTTTCATCATATTATACACACAACTAGATTTTTTCAAGGAATACACAAAACGCAAATCTCGACCTGGAGATCATCATTCCGACGCGCCTGAACTTTTGGCCGCGATAATTGGCATAGTTTTTGTTAATCAAAGCTGTCTAAACGGTGTTATAATTTTCATCCCGCACGCGTTACAGACAATTGTTAAAATCGATGAGATGGTATTCGTGAGGAGATCGAAATTCATCAACAAGGAAGAAGTAAGAACGCGCGAGCGTGCTCGGGAGATAAATGGTAACAGGTGGTATCCGAGCGTTCCGAGTGTAATAAGTTTTCACGTAGACTAAATGCGAACCTATAGGTACGGTCCGGCTTTTACGGCCCACTATTTTTCATTGCCACTTTTCCTCTCGTTTACCGAAGTCTCAAAGTACAATGCGATGAAGATTATTGTTTCCTTTCTTGTTCTCGTTAAATTACGCGTTTCTTTATTTTTGCACTATATTTGTCTCTGTATTTTATTTCTGTGAGAAAATTGTAAAACAGTCGAGTGTCGATAAGAAAAGTCTCATAATAAAATTATTTCGGATACTTTTAAATTAATGTAAAGTTTGATTTTTCTAATTGAAACAGTTTTCATCATTTACTCTTATAAGAAGATTGACAAATAAATGTGTAAATTTGGAAGTAAAATCTGTAAAAAAACTTAGCTGTACCTTCTTTTATATATATAAAATAAAAGTTTTCCTATACATAATCTCCCTTATCGTCTTTGCCTGCAAGAGATTATGGCAATTTTACTTGAGAGACAAAGCGCTTATTCCAATCCCAACGCCTAGAAAAGTTAGTCCCCTCGAAAGGACTTTTTTAATTAAAGTTAGAAATAAAGGTGTCGAGAAAACGAAATGCCACATCTAAAGCTTCCGCCAAGACGGGACTTGGTCCATAATCTTTTTGGCTTATGAAACTATTCTCCAAAATCCACCTAAGCGCCAGTCATCCGACTTTTCATTATTCGTTCTTGTATATGTCTAACATTTTTGGCATGTACAATTTAATGTATTATCTTGGATTGCATAATGATAACTTTAAGGACGCAGATACAATAGAAAGAATAAGAAATAACGATTTTAGCGCTTATCAGAAACTATGTATTTCGGTGTATCCGATTTCTGATAAGTTTCAACTCCTTATTCCTTATTCTTTCTATTGTCTTAAAGCTTTACTTAAAGTCGTTTAATAATTTTAGAGTTTACAGATATATTAGAAAATGTTACACATTTCTGTTTTCAATTTTTTTTTTTTTTTTTTAATACAATATATAAAAAGAGATACTTATATACTTACATGTAAACACGAATATGCTTAAATTATATAATAATTTATATTTGCATATAATATTAATTGTATATAATAATTTTCTCTCTCTCTCTCTCTCTCTCTCTCTCTCTCGTATTCGAATATAATTTATATTTACATTTAGACGTATCGCTTTCTAACTTTACAAGTGACACAACTACAAAAATGTAATTTTCCAGTTATTATTATTAAGAGTTATTATTACTATAAATATGTTAAATATTATCCTTTTTCAATCATCAAAATAATCTGGCTTAATTTCATAAAAAATATTGACATCAAAATAAGGTGGGGTTTTCAGAATTGTGAAACAAAAATGACATTTGATTATGCTACGAATACATGTTTAATTATTTAATTAGCCAGTAACTTTCTATCAAATTGAAAAATAATTTTTCCCTTTTCCTGAAGAATTTAATTTTTTAAGATAATATTTTTTGAGTCGAGGTAATATTTTTCGCAATAAGATTATTTATATAATATTTTAATATGTGTTATTCAGCATTATATAAGATCTTTTTAAGAGATCTTATATAATGCTTGTGTAATAATGCCTATCAGCATCAAATTATTAAATTACTAATCAATTTAAGGGGATGCTAGACTGACGCGGCCGAACTTGATTGATGTCGATGGTACAGAATTTTTTTAATTCCAAATTTAAAAAAGTCGATAATAGTGACGTCTTTAATTCATTCTTCTTTTCTTTTATCTAACATATTGCAACGCCATCTCTTGCAAGCTCGAGCATCTACTGCTAAACATAATTACTGCTTTGTTTACCATCCTGAGTTTCGCTCAGTATTCATATACATTTTATTTGCAGATCGATATAAATCTTTTTTTTAAGCTTTTAATCTTAGTTCTGTAAACTCACCACTATTGTTTGTGCACGTAATACCACGGGTGCTGCACTGTTGTTTTGTCCATACGAGCTATAAAACTTTTGTATTAAGGAAACATTTACGTCAGGTGACAGCTCTACGAGTTGAAAAAATGTAAGTTTTTAACTTTTTTTTTTAATTTAGTATAAAATCCACTGCAGCATCTCCCAATTTTGCTTCTACTTTAATCCTGTAAAAGGATTTTTTATTTCATTCAGTAAATTTGGAAATTTTTATCCACCTGCAATGTCACTCCAGCATCCCCTTAATAATTTGTAATATTACTACTATAGTTCAGTTAGGTTTCAAGACCAAGAAATCAATTCGGCGCGCAATTTAAATGACTATATGTAGTATATAAATTCACATCAAATTACTTAAGCATAGATTCAGCTTGACGAGCTTGACCGTTTAAAGGCCATGTTATTTATTCCCTATTTGTTGTGTAATTATATGTACGATCCTAAGAAATTTTTTAATATTGTTAATTTTTTCAGTTGTGTCACTCTTGAGATAAGAGCAATATGTATACAAAAATATATAATACAAGAATATATTATACAAGTTTAAAGAGTAAGAAAATATGTGTTCTGTAAACATTAACCTCGGATTTAGTCTACAGGCGTAGACTAAATCCAAGGTTAAATCCTCCGAATATCGACGATCTCTCTCTACCGCATGTTCACAATCCTTATCATTTGTCTTTGCAGAGGCTTATGTGAATCTGGGAGCCGCGTTGATTTCGGTCGGACGGGGCACTGATGCAGCTGCGGTTTTGCGCGCCGGTGCATCCTTGGATGGCTCCGGTTTGAAGGACAAAAGGGCTCACGAGGCGGCCAGGGTGCAGGCCCTTCTTCAATTAGGCGCGCTGTATGCCGATCAGGGTAGATTACAAAGAGCTCTGTCGGCATATAGGGAAGCCCTGCGTGCCCTACCGGATCACTATCCACCTCAGGTTAGTAGCGCGCGTCGTTTCCTCTTCATTACATTGCTAAAGCGGAATAACTTGATGTACGCGAGGGGATAGATTATGAATACTCTTGAAGGGCGTTAAGAGCCTTCGATGTCGCATCTCCGTTTGGCTTCAAGCGATTTATATCTCTCTTCTTTCTCTCTTCGTTTCCTTTTGAATTGGAGTTTGTCCTCTCTTCCACCCACCCACTATCTATCTTTCGAAAATTAGGACTTATAAAATTCATATCGTGATTATCGATTTATATCTGTATCAATACGATTTGCTGTTATATTGATAATATTTAGTTGCACCTTTATGTAAGAGAATCCAGATACGTTCATTGAGGATGTCAGTAAATGGAATTGAATTTAAATAACAATTACTTCATTCGATGTTAACCGAAACTGACTGAAGGATGAGGTTTACAAATTTATCTCATCTTTTGACAAGAAGTATCGTTGTGAGGGTTGTCCCCTTTGCAGACACTATAGCTAACGGCGAAAACGATTATTACGATCGTTCTAACTCTCTCGTCGATTGCAATCGATCGATTAACAAACCAGGAACGCGGTAAACCACTCCGAACGATACACCGAAAGCAGTCTACAAGAAAGTAATCAACTCGAAACAGATTTCTGATGTATTCGTCGACCCTTCGATTGCTAATTGCTTTCCAAGATTATTACTACCTTCGATTCGCCCGAAGCAATTCTGCGTTCTCAAACATCGTTTATTCCACGCAGGACGATACACTCTCTTTGACTCGCTCGTTGATCATCGTGCATGGCAATCAAAAAGAATAGAGGAAAGCATTATTTTCATGTGTGCTGTAGAAAATATTACAAAATAATTCGGAAACGTTAGATATAATTCTACATTTAATTTTTTACATGTACGGAGTATTAAGGGAATGCTGGAACGGCGGTCACTACTGTCCTCATTTAATATATTGCAACACACCATCTCTTGCAAGATTCGGTACTAGACACAAATATTGCTCTATTTTGCTGTTCACACCGATAGCATATACAAATGAAATTTTAGATTATTCTTTCTTTTATATTAAAGCCCCTAGCTTATTTCTACAAGCATAATATTGTTCTTTCGTGTAATCTCTAGTGCGATCTAAGCTTATTTCAAATGTACAAAGTCTAAAACTCTTATATGCAGCACATGTTGTCACGAGTCGGCTGCAGAATCCACACAGCAGAAACATCCCGAATATATCATACGGATATACCACAGACGCGTTGCGATACCTTTAGGTTATTCCTGTAATATAACTTGGACCTTTTTGCTCTATGGGAAGCCGATGATAAAATTATAATTTTTCGATTTTTTTCATTTTTCGTACGAAATTGTCTACGCACTGTTTTTATCTATACTTTGAGAAGGATGTTTTTCATTTGGATTAATGCAATTAAGATTCTTAAAATCTGTTTTACTGATTGATCTTTGCAATGATCTTTGTAGAACGATATCGCATATATATTATAGGTATTATTTTTACAGATTTGAAAATTCTTTTCCAGAATTAAAATATATGTATTAATGTATATATACGTGTCTGCAGTTTAGAATTTATGTCGAGAACAAAAAATTTTTGAAATTATAATCTTTTTTATCATTCTTTAATCTAAAATGGCGCCTAAAACTCGTTATTTAAGTCGTAACAACATTTACTTTTGCATTCTATACTTAGAAAATTGAAGGTTACAAACTAGCCATCTAATTAAAACGATATCGTTATATAAAAGTTTATGTTCATGTGCGCGTGCGACATTGATATATATGTACTAGTATATAAAGATGTGTTTTGTCGGTAAAACAGCGATTCTCTTGGAATTGGGACTCTTTACTTTAGGATCCCTTTAAAAGATTGGTGCATTTGAAAACTAAATCACATTTCATCGGTAAAACAAAACAAACTCCAGCATCTCCTTAATTAAAATAAAGAATCAATAGCAGTTTAGTAATTTCAGCAAATTAAACGGTATATCAATAATAAGTAGTAAGAATAAAGAAAAGTATATATATATGTACATGTTGTAGAACACATTAGATATAACTTAACATTTAATTTTTATGCATATTAACTAAAATAAAAGATTAATAACAATTTAGCAATTTCAGAAATTTAAACAGTGTATGATAGTGAAGATTATTTAAAACAATATGAGTGAAAAAAAAGAGACGAGCGAAAGGAAGAACGGAAGGTTCGAGATGATAAAAGTATCGATATTTCCGAACCACCGAATTCGTGAGTGATATTGTATTCTCGGTAACTGTACTCGGAGTAACCAGAGCCGCTTTTCTGATTCCTCCTCCTTCCCCTCGAAAAATCAGGAAAATGTCCTTCGCGGTCCACTTACCCTCCCTCCTCTTTTTTTTCACTTTCTTTTTTTTTCTCTCCTCCATCTCCAAAGCAAGCCCCCGACCACCCGCGTTGCAACGACGTACAGAGCGAACTTTCCGTGAGTTTCTCTCATAGGGTGGCTTTACTGCCGTCGTCTGACTTTTCTTTCGCCTCTTTTTCCCCCTCCCTCCCGCACGTGCACGCTCTCGCGCCCGGTTGCCGGTCTTTTTCCTTCCTTTCCGTTTTCACAATCCACGTCCAACTTTTTGGACGTGGCGCAGGCGAAGCGACAACATCGGATCGCGCAACGACCGGTTCGACTACTCTCACATTGCACCCGGCATCGACGCGACGCGAAGCGACGCGAGAAGTTTGCATTTTTACGAGACGCTCCGTACCCTCCGGTGTGTGTTCCCTCCGTTGAAACCGAGCGACCAACCGACCGACCGACCGACCGACCAACCAACCAACCAACCAACCAACCTTCCTTTTAAATTCTCCCTTCGCTTATACATGCTACATAGCGTAGCAAGCGTCTCGTTCGGAGCATCGCCGTGGAATTCCTGCGCGACAATTTATTCCAAAAGTATTTTTCGCCTTTCCACTCACTCGCGCCGTCGCCATCGCGTCGTAGGTACATACACATGTGCTCGTGTGCACGTATGTATGTACATGCGGGGCCGCATATGCACCAAGAAACTGCAAGACCTCGGACGTACAGAAATTTCACGATATTTCCGCGGATATACGTTGACTATCCTGCACGCCATGAACCTGATCGTTACGTGTCGAGATAAAATTGTCTGAGCCCTCGTCTCCTCGCCCGAGAGCCGTAAGCACAACTTTATGTTCAGCATTAACTAATACGCGGAATAACGCGGCAGGATTTCTACGACAGATATCTATGTTATTATGCACACCAAAATCTACGACCATGCATACCTATATTCGAAAAACTATAATAAATCTATAATAAATCTAATAAATCAATAATGGTCTCGAGACTTTGTGAGGTTAGAATGGCTCAATATTGTTTACTTTACAAATATTAACACGCAGAACAAAATATCTTATCTCAATGTAGATTGGGGACCTTATGAAGTTAGGGGAAAAAATGTATAAGAAATAAAACAATAACGCGCGTACCTGCTGCATATTTTTAATATGATAAATATCCGAATTACATAAATTTAGTTGAAACTTTGCGCAGCATCTTGGAATGTCGCGAAGACAGATACATCTTTTTACAACAGTGCATTACTAGTACCAATCATTGCAGAAATATAAAGAGTACTCATATTACCTGCAATACTCATATAATTACCCAATCCTACCCTAATATATTAAATACTATGAACTAATATTTTCTTTTCGGTATATTTTTTACATGCCGTAAAAGAAATTTTTTTTCTTACTGTACTATATATGTATAGAGTGCATTTGTTTCTTTTGCTTCGGGCGAAAAATGTTTTGTCCCGGTCGGGTCTGTAAGTGAGCGATATATACTGAGAATTTAATGTTAATTAGCGTATTAGAACTTTATTCTCATGTGTTTTCCTGCAATTTTAAAATTAAATTTATTGAAATGTATATAACCGACCGATAGATGTACTACTATTAAAATAAGAGCGCAAAATAATAACCGATCTCGGCAGTTGTCAGTTGCGTTACTAACTGTGAATTGACATGAAAGCGATGTTTGTCAACCGTGAGTGACGTAACAGTCGCAACATCTAAGTATGTATAATTCTATGTATGTGTCAAACGCAAAATGTACCCATAGTCATCCAGGCATGAACGCGATTGAACGAATTGCGCGCGTACACGCCTGCGAAAATTTAGAAGGAACGTAGGGAGGAGGTAACCGCGCAATTAAAACGCGTATTTAACTTGAATGAAGCATTTCAGCGTGCAACGTCGCGACATCGTTGAATAATGCGCCTTAGAAAGCGTCCGCGAAACAAGAAACGGTACCGAGCTATCGTTAGAGAAATTATAGTTTCATCCGCGCGCGCGCGCGCGAAATTAGAATCGTTCATCTTAATATTTCGTTTTATTCGCTCGACATAATTTCCCATTCGAGTCTCATGATTGGCAATCGCGATAAAATAGGAACGAGAAAGATCGCCCCGATATTGGCATGTTTCCACGCCAAACTTTTCCTCGCCATGCAGTTATTCGCGCCCCGCCGTCGTGTCCCGCGTCCACCTACTAATTGATTAAACCCCCTCCCCTCTCTGTTACACCGGACAGCAGAGAATCCGAAATATCTGATATTACACAAATTGAAATTCCTCTCTTTGAAACTTTTTACATTCCGTCTCCGACGACGGCAAGCTTTCATTCGATTGTCAGACATAAGGACCTTCCCTCCAACGGTGCTCTCTCACTTCTAAAATGACTATTTCCAGAATTCAAGTTAAAGTGAGAAAGCTAAAAAAGAAATTGTTATAAAAATATACCGCAAGCCGTTTATCTCGTGAAAGTTTCGAGTGCATTACCACCGCGTTTCGCGTATATGAGTGTGTAATGGGATGTTTCGTAAGTTCCACCTAGTAATTCTAAAGTCGTATTTTCCTAAAAGTTCTGGGAACATAATCCAGCTCCGTTCGAGATGAGAAAATTTTATTTCAGGCATGAATAA